ACTGGTCAAATATACAGTGCTCATTATTTCACACAACCGAACAGAACGAAAACGAGGCTGAGGTGAGGCCAGCATTTGTCTGATATTATTTCATATTAAACAGGTTGTAATCCTCAAATGACTCTAAGCACTTTGTATGTATATAACAAATTGCATGCAACTCTGTCTATTAAAACGCACTATTGTATTGATAGTTTAGGTCTTTGTATTAATATTTTGAATTTATGTATTTGTCAGTGTTGTATATTAAGCCCGAGGCTTATTCATTTTACTTTCGGTGTGAAAGGGCTTTTGCATTTGCCAAAAATCGAACTTTGTTATATTAAAAACAAACAAGCAAGCCCAGCCCAGATGAGAAAAAGTAACACAAAAGTAAAGCAATTAGTTACTTTTTTAGGAAGTGACACAATATTGTAATGCATTACTTTTAAAAGTAACTTTCCCCAACACTGCTGACAATGAAAAAAGCATGTTAAAAGAAAGGTATGGAGAACAGTGCATCCATTTATGCATTAATTAACATTTCTCTTAAAGAGGCAGTGATGTTTCATTTCTGAATGAAAAGACTTGCTGTTGATGTACAACAATTATATTTTGAAATTAAAGCTATAAATCATTTGAGTAGTTTGTCTGTCTACACTAGATGTGTGTTACAAACCAGTGATATTCACTGAAGATGTTTTGACATAAATCATTTGATAAGAGTCAAACTCTCTATATTTACATAACCATGGTAAAATCACTATAATGCATGGCCTTATTGATTTTAGCAAAATGATACATTGGGTAACACTACTTAAAGCTTTTATATATAATGCATTTTAAAAGTAGTTGCAATGCTTTGTAATGCGCATTGTATGATCTCATGAATAATTGTAACCACAGGTATAATACATTATAATCTATTTGCTGTTACATCTTTAGAAAGTATAATTTATTAAAACACATGATAAACAAACCTAATGCATTGTACATAAAGGCTTTAAGTGTTACCATAAATGGCAATAAACAAATACATTAATATTACTAATAATTAGCATAAGTAATTGTTCTGCTAGATACTTCATTATACTAACTGTAGGCTGTTTGTGGTTCAGCAGCATAACAGATGTTTATTTATTATGTCATGTGCACATTTGCATTTTACCAATTGCAGAATTTAGTGGCTCAGTTATGTTATTTTATAATGTACATTATCTATGCAACTATGCTCCCCTCCCTCCAAGACATTTACAACACCCGTCTCACCCGCTCTCCCACTCCCCCCTCCCAAATACACACACACACTGTCACTTTAATCAGTCTAAATAAGCTCTTTTGCACTACAATCATTATATCTGCACTGTTGTTTACTTCACTGGTTTGCACTCTATCTGCCATGTGCCTTGTGCTGCTTTATATATATTTTTTTATATTTTTTTACATTTTACCTTATTTGTATATTTGTATAGTTGTATTTTATATTTAATCTGTATATCTGTATTTATGTTCTACTGTTAGTGTTATCTGTATGCACCAAGGGTCTGAGAGAAACGCAATTTCAATTCTCTGTGTGTATGTGCTGTACATGTGGAAGAATTGACAATAAAGCAGACTTGACTTGATTTGACTTAACTAAAGTCAGCCATCTCTACAATGCAGTGCAAATAAAAGTCATGCTTTATTTTGACATCACAGCCAGGTTTCAGATAAGTGTGGTTGTGAATTTGACCTTTACAAATAATAAGCTGATGCATTAGTGCTGTATAGATAGGTAAGGATGCGTTTGACCGTCTCGTGTCATCCTGCAGTCAGTGATGCACATTCATCCGGTCAGTCGTGTGATGGAGGTCTCATCTCCAGCAGTCCTCACAAAACACAGGTATGCACTGAGTTTGTCATCACAGGATTCACAAGGAGTTTGTCTTGCTATGGATTGTAATCTGTTTTCTTCTCAGTTACAGAAGTTAAGTTGGACTCTACGAAACCAGATGTTAAACCCAAAGTCCAAGCTTCCTCTGTTGCAACACAAGAACGTCACGAGAAACAAGCTTGTCCCTCTGCCAATCCAGGTCTTGATCTTCCTTTCATTCATAAATTTAAAAAAATACAAAATCTTAATGGTCCTAAAAATGTGCATATATTTCCACACAATTTTTGGATGGGTGAAATGTGACCTAGACATGTTTCATGAGATTCACCCATTATATTTAATGCAGTTTAAACCTCTTTATCATCAGCATCCTGTTGTGTGTCAAATCCAGCACCTAAAACCAGAGAGGACATGCTTAAATGTGAGACTGCATGATTTTCCACTTCATTCATTTTGTTGGCCATTTTTTGTTCTTTTTTCATATTTAACAGTGTGCGTTCCCTTTTAGTCCGCATCAAGCCCACACTGGATTACAACAGTGCTTTCCGTCACATTCGTCTGTCTGATGGATATCGCAAGGTGACTCTCTGTGCAGAGAACCAGCAATTTGCAACTTTAAATTAATGGTTAGGTTTTGACACACAAAAAGCCTTACGGTCAAGGTGCTCCGGATGATATATTGAGGTCTTATGAAGCGAAATGATCAGTCTGTGCAAGAAACAACATCATTTACATTATTATTTCCTGTTGGCAAAAAGGGAAGAGATTCGTTTCTGTGAACTGATGCTTTCTGACAGCTCATTTCAAATTGGAGCGACTGTCAGGCAGATTCGATCTGAGGAACTTGTAGATCTGTGCTGCTCGAGCCGTAAACTGATGCAGACGTTTCAGTCCGAATTTGGTGAACTGGTCAGTCCAGTTCACTAAAAAGAATCGGTTCAAAATAGTGATTCGGTCAATCCAGTTCACTAAAAAGAATCGGTTCAAACGAGAGATTCGTTCACAAACCTGACATCACTTCGGACTGTTTGTCTGAGACTGCAGAGAGTTCTGGAAAAAGGAGGTGCTGGAGACTAAAGGGTTCCCGCTGGTTTAATTCTTGGGTTAACACCTTAATTCTTAAGTCTTTTGCAGTTAATATCTTTTCATTTTTTGTGACGCCTGCTGCCCCATTGAGCATTTCTTTTTCAGTGGTCATGTCTTTATTTAACTATTTCTATAGTATTGCACTCTTTTCAGGGGCATTTAATAATTTTTAACTTTTCAGTGTGTTAATCTCTTTTTTTTTTGACTTATTGTACCTGTAAAAGAAATACGGCATGTTTCACTTGCAGCCCTAGTTATAAATTTTATATCTCTTATAAATAATTATATGCAAAATTAATAGCAGTTCTTAAGATAGATGTGGTCTGGATATGTGCTTGGTAAAAAATATGATCAGGATATCGACTTGCCTAATAATTATGCATGCACTGTAGATAAAGAATCCTGTTAAGCAGATAATACACACATCTTTGTATTTTTTAACTTATTTATTGACTAAAATAAGTCATGGAGAAAGTATTTAAACATCATTGAAGTCAGGTGTTTCCGTTAAGTCAGGTAAAATAGTTTAACAAGTGCTGCCCTACTGAAAAAACAAAAAACATACAGATATAGAGGCCTCTCTTGCAACAATTTTTCATTCTGTAAAAAAAAATAATTTATTAAGCGGAAGCTTTATCCAAAGTCATGATAGTTCACTTATAGCTACTGGAAAGTTACTGTTTCATTGCTGCACAAAATTTCCTCCCGTCTGGTTCAAAGATAAGTCTCAGTGATCGTGTAGAGCTCTGTGTGTGCATTTATTTCTTTGGTTTCATGACACCGATTCATTTGCTATTTTCAGATAACAATTGGCGTGGCATATAAGGACATGAAGCGCTCTGCATCTGACGACACAACACGCAGTCCTGGAGCCTGTACTGGTCCGGCAAGGCCTTCTCTATGTGGCATGATGGGAATGAAACCGCACTGGTCGCTCCCAAAGCCAAACGCATCTGGGTTTATCTGGACCAGCAGACCGGCGTGCTGGCACTTTACAGACTCTCGCACAATCAGCTCCAAGAAATATGCTGCGTTCACACGCATTCCGACGGACCCCTCGTCCCCAGTTTCCACTTCTGGACTGGAGTCGGCGCCTCCATCATTATCTGTGAGCTCAGCTAAAGAGGAAAGCATGACTGTGAGAAATACATCTCGAGAGACTGGGAGAAAGTACTGAAAAAAGATGAAGAACGCATACGCCTTTAAAGCAATCTATATCTGTTTACAACTTTACGATGAAAATAAAATACTAATACTAATGCATCATAAGTGTGTCTTGTGTTTCTCTCTCCTTCAGTGATTCTGCTTGTTAACAGCAGCTGTTCATCACTAATGCTCAATCAGCACTTAATAAATCGCTTAATTATCTCATGAACTTTAACTCTGCTTCAGTGTTGCTTTAACACTCTGTAGATTAGGACCGAATGCTCTCTTTAAGCATTTAACTCTGGGGGTTTTACTGTGCGCCTGCTTTTGCATGAGCGTTTTGAAATGGTATTTTCTGAAGTGCTTGTAGATCCATTACTGGATGCAAACCCCATCTTTCTTTGGAACTTGAGGATAAAGAGAGTAAAAGCTCTCTGAGTTCTGCTGAAGTGATTCCATAGATGGACTTCTGATCTCTGTACCTCCTGATTTGTTTATACTGATGTGTGTTTTATTTTTACTTCTCTCTGCACTTTTGTGTTTGAGCTTGTAGGAGCTGAAGTGCTTCGTGACAACACATTTGGGAACTTGTGCTTTCATTTCTCAGACCACCAGCTTTTGTTGACTGCATTTTTAGCACTGGATCTTGTGATATTGAAGAAGAAGAAGAAAAAAAAAAAGATGCAAATTTTTGTTATTTAAAATGACGATTTCCAAGCCCTTTTAACCCAGTAGCATGACCACCCCACAACTAACTTAAACGAATAAATAATCAACACTTTCCGGGTATTAGATCAGTGAAACAAGCTCCGTTCATGCTGAGTTCGTGTAGTTTGTTAGTTTGCTCAGCCCAGTCACAGTGGATTGGACAGTACTCGTAAGTATTTAATAATCTAATAGAGATGTAGGGTGCAGATTTGAGTTTCAAATATACGACTCAGATTAATCGATTCGGATCAATAGAAGATTCGAACGGCTCAGACCGGATGTGACGAGACATAGCCGCAGATGACGAACGCGGAAGTTTCGCGGAGCAGATTGAGTTCCCTGCGTGCGTGATGTCGCGGACTGAGTTTATAGCGAATAATGACTCGAAACAGCTCGGAAATAAAACGGACAAACGATAGCGAAGCACATCGACGTTACCACAAGGTAGGATGAGCGTCTCGACGTTTTATTCTTTATTTCTGTCCTGCCAGTTTGAGGTTTCACTTCCCTCAGTGCTGAGCTAGCTGCTAATGCTAATACTTTATTATGTGTCCTTATTGTGTATTTAGTATATGAATCAGTTAACACTTGGTGTAGACAACTGACTAATGAATTATAATGTATTTTAATAAACAGAGCGGCATGTTTCGACGTCTTCCGGTTTCTCTCTCAGTTTACTGTCAATATGACAAAATGACAAATATTTGTTCAGTTGTGTTGCCGAAGCCTTTACACTACATACACCTGAAACATGAATTAAACAGCAGAGTGTACTGTAAAAAACGACAGAGCGTTGTAACCCATGAGGTTGTGTTCAGATGTAATGTAATGGCTGTTTATTTGCTGGATCTGAAGGATGAATAGGTACTGACTGTGCTAATAATCCAGAGTACTGTGGTGTTGTTGCAGTATGCACACTGGGTGACCCTTTCGGTGAAGTGTTGGGTTGAGAGCGAACCCCAGACCCGAGTTCAGCTCCAGCCCGGGTTAAACACACCAGAAGCAGCTAATCCAGGACTGCAGGATTACTACAAGCCTCCAGGCAGGTGTTTTGGGTCTACAGTGGCCCTCCAGGAGCTGGGCGAGTTCTCATCCACACACTGTTTCGATATTTTTCTTCACTTAGACACACACATGCTTTTTGTGTGTGTGTTTTGTGGAGCTCCGTTTTTGTGGGCTCTCAGTAGGGATGGGCTTATCGTTACGGAAGAATCGATATATACTGATTGGAAGTATCGATACTCAAATAAAAAATATCAATACTAAAGTTTTTTGGGTTTTTTTTGCCAGTGATTTTGTTCATTTAACAAGAAATTTAATGCATACGAAATGCACTGAATTGAAGAGATGTTAGGGAAAGTTTGTGTAGGACAGAACTGTTTTCCTGGGCTGCGTAAGCCTTAGTTGAGATCAACTCAATATAAATATAAACTGTCAGAATAAAAAGGTTGCATTTTATGGGTGCAACTGGCAGTCCCTTATGATAATGAACTATATTAGTGACTACAGTAAACACATTTTAACCATGTGTAAACAAAGTTATTATCTAATAAGTTGTAATTAAGGCGTAAATAAATGCCTTTCAAATATAATATTAAATGGGTATTATTACCTATTTTAGTCTTAATAATTATATAATTTCATAAATTTCATAATTTAAAAGTTCAGTCTAGGGTAGGGTTGTGATGGTGAGGAAATGTTCCCACCGGTTAATCGACGTGTGACAACACCGGTAATACCGGTATCACCGCGGGGGCGTTCCCTCTTTTCCTCGCTTTCCTTCGCTTTTAAATAGCTTGTAAAAGTGGCGTGCGCATTTTACTTTCACTTTCGAATTAGCGGCAGGTCGGCGTCAAATTGCTTGAATGCAACAACAAAATACAACGTCAAACTCACTTTAGCGTATATATAAAACATAGAACTTTTATTAACAAAACAAATAAAAATACACCATGCTATAGGGCAGGCTATGCCTAATATAAAATAACAAATAACTTACATATGGCAAATAAAATAAATAAATTACACAAAGTTTAAATAAAGTAAAAATCAGCTAACACTGTGGAACCAATTAAATAAGAAATGAATGTTTAAAAAAATTTCCAAAATCACCTTAGATAAACGGCAGAAGTCAACAGTCTTTTCAAAATCCAAAATATTGCCAAACAGGTGCTTTTGCATCTCGTTTCGAAACTAAATCATCCGCGATCGTCTTGGTGGGCAAGTGACGTAACCGGTGTTGCGGCTTAACACCGGTATCACCGTCAGCTCCGTCTATCACGGCAAGCCTAGTCTAGGGGTATCGATATCGGCGATGCTGGCCTTTGAAAGTATCGGTGTAGTATCGAAAACAAAATAAGTGGTATCGGTCATCCCTAGCTCTCATTTGGATGTTTTTGGTTTCAAACCTCAATCAATAAGTAGCCGCTTTCTCACAGTAATACCAGTAAATTGCCGTAAAATGACCGGAACGAATCTCGCCTCACTCTTCTCGTCTGTCTCGCCTCACTCTTCTTGTCTGTCTTGCCTCACTCTTCTTGTCTGTCTCACCTCGCTCTTCTTGTCAGTCAGCTCGACTCACTCTCCTCGCTGGAGAAATGAAATCTGATCTGTGATGCGACTGTCGTTCGGCACGCTGCATTGAGCAGCCGCGTTCAGTTTTTAACTGTAGTGTCTGTTCTTTTACTGAACTAAATTATTTTTATTACTATAAAAAATCAAAACGACGGTGGGGGTCGGTGCCGCGGTGGGCAAGTGACGTAACCGGTGTTGCGGCTTAACACCGGTATCACCGTCAGCACCGTCTATCACGGCAAGCCTAGTCTAGGGGTATCGATATCGGCGATACTGGCCTTTGAAAGTATCGGTGTAGTATCGAAAACAAAATAAGTGGTATCGGTCATCTCTAGCTCTCATTTGGATGTTTTTGGTTTCAAACGTCAATCAATAAGTAGCCGCTTTCTCACAGTAATACCAGTAAATTGCCGTAAAATGACCGGAACGAAAGTGTAAAGTGTAAAGCACCATTCACACCTCATCAGTTTCAAAATACCGGTAAATTCTGTGACATCATTAACCGGAAATGAGCTCTAAACGGCTGCGGCTCCCGGTGATGTGGTTGTAAACGTGCGCTCAGTGTTTTTGTTGATGTTTTCATTTTTGTGTCAAACATTCACATTTAATCGGTATTTGTGAAAAGGTCCTGTTCACACATGATCTCTTAACGGTAATTTACCAGTAAATACTGCATGTGTGAAAGGGGCTAATCCATCTTTTGTGAAAATCTGACACTCTGTATGAAAGAAAGGTGTTTTAAACTCGTAAATCTTTCTATCAATTACCAGCTTGAAAGGGACAGTTCTCCCCAAAAATGAAAATTCTGTCATTTACTCTCACTGTTGTTCCAAACCTGTATGAGTTTCTTTCTAATGTTAAACTCAAAAGAAGATATTCTGAGGAACGTTGGTCTCCAAACAGTTGCTGGTAGCCATTGACTTTCATAGTATTTTTTTCCCTACAATGGAAGTCAATGGCTACCAGCAACTGTTTGGAGACCAACGTTCTTCAGAATATCTTCTTTTGCGTTCCACGGAAGAAAGAAACTCATGTTTGGAGCAGCTCGAGGAGAGTAAACGATGACAGAATTTAAATTTTGGGTGAACTGTCCCTTTAAATGAAAACATCTCGGACCATTAATGTGGTCTCTGACTTTTGAAGCTCATTATTATTTGCCATGATTCTTAGTGGTGTGTGTGTCTGTGTGTCTGTGTCTGTGTGTGTCTGTGTGTGTCTGTGTGTGTGTGTCTGTCTGTGTCTGTCTGTGTCTGTCTGTGTCTGTGT